TTCAGTCTTCCGCTTACTAAATTCTGTTGTTTATTAAATGCTGGTTTTTAATTGCTAACAGATTAAAATGGAAACAAGATAAATAATTCAATTGGTTGGCTTGCCTAGCTTTATTAGTAGGCCCCATCACGACTCCCGGGGGTGGAAAATACGGATCGTGACATCAAAGTCTCAAACCACCGAATGGAACGCTTAAGCTTAAAATACCGATCTGGTCGTTATATTGCAAAATGCATCAAAATTCTTCAGTGTCTCATCCTTGTGACTCAAAAAGATAACCCAGGTGAAACGAGAACTATCATCAATTATAACAAATGCATATTTCTTACCATTTATGCTAGATGTTCTAGTGGGTCCAAAAATATCCATGTGCAGTTATTGTAATGGTTTTGAAGTAGAAACAATGTCCTTTGGTTTAAAAGAAGATCTAGTCCAGCTACCAAGTTGACATGCATCACATATATGATCTTTTGAAAAATTCAGTTTTGGAAGACCAATGACTAGATTCTGTTTGGAAAGTGTTTCAATGGAATGCATGCTAGCATGACTTAATTTCTACGCCATATCTAAGGGTCGTCAATCATGGATGCTAGACAAATGTGATTTTCAATATTGTCTACTTTGCTAAGAGTATAAACATTGTTGTCTCTATTTTTAGAGAGAATTGAGTTACTTGATTCATCTATTATAGACCAACCAGTCTTTTTAAAGCGTACCTCATAGTCGTTATCGCACAGTTGACTGATGATGAGTAAGTTGTATCCTAATTCATCTACAAGAAGTACTTTGTCTACTTCACATGTTGAACTTACAGGAACTTTATCGACCCCAATGACGTTTCCTTTAGACATATCTCTAAAGGTGACAGATCCTTCATCCAAATTTGTGACAGATTTAAAAAGTTGTTTGTCACATGATATGTGTCTGGAACACACGTTGTCAAGTTACCATTTGTTCTTTCCATTTTTCTTGTGGTGTTCCTGCAACACAAACAAATTACTTTTACTTAGGTACCCAAGCTTTCTTGGGTCCTTTTTGGTTAGACTTAGATATGGTGGCCTCATTGGTTGTTTTGGATCTCCAGACCCACTCCTTTTTGTTTCTAAACCTACAGTTGTTAGAAAAATGATCAAATATACCGCAATAGAAACATGCATGATGGATTTATTCAAATCCCTCATGAGACCTATCAAAAGGCTCCTTTTTGGGTCCTCTTTGGATAGTCGACTTATTTGACTTGATAGAGCTATGACTGGTGGATTTTTGTAATCCATTTAACTGAAGTTGGTATTCGTAGACTTTCTTCTTGAAGCATGTCTCTTTCAATTTCAAAAACTTTCAGTTGTAGTTCCTAGTCCTTTTTTTCTTTTTGTATCTTGCAAAGTTCGTAATGAACTTTTTCAAGATCAATCATGGCTAAATAAATATATTCTTGAAGTTCAATGCATTTTGGACAGGGACGTACCTCACTGGTTTCTCCGATTGCCACCAGACTAAGATTTTCATCTAACTCATTTTCTGATTCATCGTTATCACTTTTGCATATTGCCATGAAACATTTGTTGGCTATTTCTTCACCTTCAGACTCTTCTTCATCACTCCATGCTCCAAAAGATTTCTTCTTCTGAAAGTCTTTGTTGATTTTCTTCTTTAGCTCTGGATATTCGGCTTGTATGTATCCAAATTTTTCATATTCATAGTATCTTCCATTATTTTTCTCAATTTCTTTTGATGGCCTTCCTTTACTGGTAAACTGTTTGCCCTTTCTTCCACCTCTGGTTTTTTTCATCATATTAGGTACTACCCTTGATAGCATTGCTATGTTTTCCTCTTGCTCTCCTCCTCCTTTTTCTTCTTCATCTTCTTCTTCGTTTTCAGACTCGACTATAGTGGCTTTGAAGGCTACATTTTTCATCTTCTCTTCTTGCACTCGTCTTTTTAGATGTGTCTTCTCAAATGTTATGAGGTCTTTTACGCAATTCATCATAAGAGATTTTGTCAAGATCTTGGCATTCCAAGGCAATGACTTTAGGCAGTCATGTGGCAGGTAAGCTTCTGAGAATCTTCCTTACATCTAATTCATTCCACAAATCACTCATTCTAGAGTAATAGGTTGTTACTGAATCTGTACCTTGTTTTAGGGTAGCTATTGCTATCCACAGGTGATAGATTCTCGTTAAACTGCATCTATCAAACTTCTCTTTGAAATCATCCATACTTTCTTCGCATTTGATGCAAAAACGATCATAGGCATCAATTCATTCGCAACTGTGCTACCTATCCACGAGAGTACAATTGTATTACATTTCCTCATTGTTCCGCAAGTTCTCCTTTGTATATGCTTTTGACATGTTCAATCCACAAATCCCAGCTTACCTTTTCCCCTCAGAGCTAGTTTCATCGCCCTGCTCCACAAGGTATAATTTTTCGGCCTGTGAGCTTTATTGGGACTAAAACTAATCTAGGAGCATCTGAAGCTTGAAGAAACAGTGGGTGATAGGGTTACCTCATTTCCTGCCATATCTATCAGAAGTGAGCTCTGTCAGAACTTGATTATCAAGGAACTTTTCTCCGATTGCTGGATTCTTCGCCGGAACCCTAATTACTAGATCGTCGCTCTGATACCATGTCAAATTGAGATAAATTGAGAGAGCTAATTGATCATTTCTAGACATGCAATCAAGTATTTTGACATTGATTCAATTATCAACCAAGTACAGCAGAGTTACAAAGAAGAGCAAGAAGGAGACGAGAGAGAGAGAGCTTGAGATTAGAATATTCTAGAATCTCATTTCTAACTAACTAATTCTGTTATTCTAACATGTTCTTATACACCGACCTTTCTCCTCTCTTTTGTATATTTGCACATTGCCCCCTTTCACTTACTACTCTCTCTCATTTAGTCCCTATTGTTTTAATACTTTTTCTCTTGTATGGTTGTTTGCATTCATGTTTTTGCTCTCCCCAACTTAATTTTTTTTATCTGTTATTCAAAACTATGAAGGTTAACATATGAATCCCCTTTATTTTTCCCATAAAACACAAATAATGGAGTACCAGTTTTTAACTCTTCTTTTAATAAGTGTTGAGTCAAACCAAATTAATTAAAACAAAATGATAAAGATGTGAACTATAAGTAACCATGGTGTAGAGTAACATGTCAGCATTTCGTATATTGAGTAAAAGTACTTGTGTTCAACCAAATAATTAGAAAGAAATAAATTTTTAAGAATCAACCATCGTAAAGATTTTTTTTGGGGGGGGGGGGGGGGAGGAGAATCATATTCCTACTCTAAAAATTTGTTTAAAAAGTCCATCTACCTTTTATATCATTTGATTCACCTACATAATAAGTAAACATTATTCATAAAGTTAAAATAAATGAATAGTAAAAAAAATTGTTACTAATTTAAAATGATGAAAGAATTATGAGACAAATATGAATTTGAAAGGATTCATCTCAATGAATCATTTGATTAATGGAAATAAGAAATCAAGAGAAAGGGATAAAATATTGAAATATTATCATCCAATACTCAACAGCAATTGTGCAAAACATCGCTAGATTATGTTAGATCTACGTTTAATTTAATGATGCAAAATAACATATCTTTTATGTACAGAAATACTCCGGAAGTAATGGAAAGGAAGACTATCAAAGATTAGAGACGAAAAAGGAAGGAGTAGCGGAAATGTGAAGGAAAAATCAATCAAGGATTTGACAGCAGATTAACACAGAATATTATAGGAAGGACCTAAATTAAAGAAAGTCAAGATTGCGAAACTATGCATTGAAGATTCCTCCATCAAAGGAAGACAACTAAAAGCCGGAATTAAGCGATCTAATTTTGATTGATCAAATAATGGAAAGATCTAATTAGCAAGGAGAAGTTCAATCAAGACCACAAGACAAGGCAAATCAACGGAAGCAACACCTTATTCTTGGAAAGAATCGGTCTACAATTTTTTTCAAGGAACAGCTCCTTTGGGTTTGCAATCTCTCAAGATTCACATCAATCAAGAGTCAAGAAAACCTCATGGAGTATATATACATCTGTACCAGTCTTGAAGCCATATACTTTGATCAAGCCAACTTCTTACTCTTTGTTCTACTCTAAACAAGCATTGTAATATTAGTAAAGTTTACTGTATAATCAGTAGAGAGAAGAGAGAGAGAAAAAAAATATTGGTGAGGCATTATATCGAAAAATATCACGAGCGTAATTAGATCGATAAGTGAGTTAGTATTCAGAGATAACATCAACACGATTGTACGAAATTATTCAAGGAACTTTAAAGAGAACACCCTGCAACCCAAGGGGACTGAGTAGGATTCACATTGAATCCGAACCAGTAAAAAAATCCGAGTGTCTTTAATTCTTGCATTTTACTTCTGCTTTCAGTTATATTCTATTTTTATTTTCAGTCGACTAATTGGTAAACTAGTCAACTACTTATGATACAAAAAGAAAAATCAACAATTCATCCTTCTCTCGTACTTTCAGATTTTGCAACAAATTTGTAAAGGAGCTTTTCTATTTACAATGAAAATGGATTTAGAGAATCAGAAAATATAGAACAAGAATGGGAAGTAGAACATGAAGTGGATTTAGCAACTCCCATGCAATGGACAAAAAAGCAGAAATAGTGGTAATATATTTTAAAAGTAAAAAAATCCATAAAAGTGAGTGTTAATAATCTTAGGAGGTAATATGGACATTATTTTTTATTAAATTACCGGTTAATGAAAATATTTCGATAATTAAAGGGGGGGAAATAGCTGTAGTTTGAAGTTTGTGAGGAAGTAACTTTTCACACAAAGTTGGGAGAAAATATTCATATTTATCACCCTATTTTTTTTTCTTCTAAAAGTGTTTCAGCCATAAAGCTAAGCTGTAATTTTACAAACTATAGGGTTCCAAGTATAGTAATTACGAAAAAGAAAAAGATGGAACGTCGTCGTTTCGAAAATTCTCACTTCTTTTCTGCAAAACCCAGAGGGGTCTAGTTCCAATCTCTCTAGCCCCCAAAACCTTACCACAGTGCGTATGCAACACAATTTTCTCACTCTCAAACACAAACCCACATATGAATTTGATACAAAAATCTCTATTCTCAATCCTAAAAGCCATATCCACCCAACACTTTGCATCCCATAGTCACAACCTTCAGCAACACAGAACCATAGTAAAAGTCCGTTTAAAATGGGTGAAAAACAGAGGTTTGGACCACATAATCGATGTTCAAACGGATCTTAAAGCAGCTTGTTTATTAAAAGAAGCTATTGTGCGTTCACCAGTTGGTTATCTAACTGCTAAGTCACTTGCTGACTCACAAAAAATTCTTGGACTTACAGTTCCTACACTTAGGTTTATTAGAAGATACCCAACTCTTTTTGAAGAGTTTCCTCACCCAAAGTATCCTTCTTTGCCTTGTTTTAAACTTACCCATATTGCTAGAATTCTTCATGATCAAGAATTGAAGCTCTTTGATGATAACCAGACTGATTTGGTTCAAAGACTTTCCAAACTTCTTATGATGACAACTAACAGAATGGTACTTCTTTTTTTAATCATTTTTGGCTCCATATTTGTGTTAGAAAATATAATGTATTTTTTTTTATTTACATTTTGTTTACCCTAGGAACGGATAACAATTGAATTTATATTGTGGTTTTAAGGACACGTAATTTTACTTGGCACAAACTGAGAAAAAATGCAATATTGATATTGAAATTAACTGCATAGAAATAAAGCAAAACAAAAGGAAATGTATAGCTTTGATGCTCGAGCTAGGTCGCCTTTGAATCAAACAAGTATTTTACTGGAAAATATTAACAAAGTAACAGAGTATCGAGAGCTTAAAAGAAAGGTAGTATATTGCTTTATGTAGCGTGAATATCATGTCTTTTACAAATGATATCACCCCTTTTATATAGTAGGGGAGTCCCACCCTTTATACAATCCTAAATACAGTAAGAAATCCCATGATTAGCTGATTAATCGGCCTCTTCTTGATACGTGCCGAGATTTCCGCCGTGATCCTCGCCGATCGCGGATATCTTGGCTTTTTGTTATTTGGCTCGGCAGGCTTCCCTCGATCTCTATCCCGCTCGGCCTCGATCTTGGTTGATCTCGATCTCGTTCGGTCTCTGGTCACGAGCTTGGCAATCTAACTTCGTGTCACGGTCTGGTACGACATGGGGCCGAACCTTGGCCTGTCACGCCCCGGTCTCTATTAATCATACAAAAAGGGCAAGCCCGATTTTGACCGTATACACATTTATTTGTATACTATTGGTCTGAAATGAGTTTATATGAAGTAATATGGTCAGTGAATATTACTTTAACTTGTTTGGAACTAAGGCGTAGTTGTTGATGGTGTGAATATTGTTAGCATATCCTACTAAAAGGGCAGCCCAGTGCTCTAAGTTCTCGCTATGTGCGGGGTTTGGGGAATGGCCGGACCACAAGGGTCTATTGTATGCAGCCTTACCCTGCATTTCTGCAAGAGATTGTTTCCATGGCTCGAACCCGTGACCTCCCGGTCACATGACAGCAACTTCAGTAGTTACGCCAAGGCTCTCCTCATGTTAGCATATCCTACTGCTCGGGAAAAAAATAGGAAAAATATTGGAGCTTTTTCTTGAGGATTATTGCCAATTGAATGTAATTGTATTTCTCATTGTATTTTTACCTATCATGCTTATGGAGAGGATCTAGTGGACTGCAAATTAGCTTGTGATTGCTATTAATTGGAAAATGCTGTAAAAATATGAAAATTTGCTTCGCAAATTGTGGTTTTGGGGTATGATAGTTATTGGAGGACATAACTGAAGACCAATTTGAATTAGTTATAAAGACTTCCTTCCTAGTGTAGATTCTAAAATTCAAGATAAAATACCATTTATTCCGAATTTGTGAATTTCAAAATACAGTACCAGTACTGCTCTTTTCCATATGTGGAACTTGTTTCTCCCCCTCCTATTTTCTTGGTGCTAAATTCTTCAAATTTTGTTTAATATTTTCAGGTTGCGCTGCAGTCGTTACATCCTTTGAAGTGGGATTTAGGATTGCCCGATGATTTTGATAAGAATTTAATTAAGAAATTTCCTGATCATTTTAGGATAGTTAAGGGAACGAATGGATTGGCTTGCTTAAAGCTTGTTCAATGGCCAGAAGAATATGCTGTCTCCGAGTTGCAAAAGATGAATGAGATGGGCACAATAGACGATGGCAGCCCTCCTGGGTATAGAGAATTTAAAAGGGGCAAAGCTGCATTAGAATTCCCAATGAGTTTCCCAAGGGGATATGGGGCACAGAAGAAGGTCAAGGCGTGGATGGATGAGTTTCAGAAGCTACCTTACATCTCACCTTATGAGGATTCAAGGGGAATTGACCCCGATAGTGATCTTATGGAAAAGAGAATAGTTGGGGTTTTACATGAGTTTCTAAGCTTGACACTATACAAGAAAACAAAGAGAAATTACTTGAGGAGCTTGAGAGAGGAACTAAATCTTCCACATAGATTTACTCGACTATTTACAAGGTATCCAGGAATATTTTACCTCTCATTGAAGTGCAAGACAACGACTGTGGCGTTGAGAGAGGGGTACCGTCGTGGAAGACTTGTAAATCCGCATCCTCTGACTCGCCACAGGGATAAGTTTCATCATGTTATGAGGACTGGGTTAATTTATCGAAGCAAAGGAATAGACATTTTGCCGCAGCTGGACAATGTAGTTGATGAAGAGGATACGGGAGAAGAAGAGAGTGATGAAGAAGAGATAGAAATGAATGATGAATGCTACGAAGATGGATCTTCAGATGCAGACACAGGTGGTGATGAAGGCTAGCATCCCCTGAACAGAGGCAATTTATTTCTCGGAAATAATACAGAGAGGAAAAGCTCTTGAGGTACCTTGACTTTTGTTGCTCTCTTCCTTGAGTTGTTATGTTGGTAGTTATTGGACTGGATAGATCTATGGAAATATCTATCTGAAACGCAAGGTTATTATCATAACAACAAACAACAACAACTAACCCAGTGAAATCCCACAAATGGAGTCTGGGGAGGGTAGTGTGTACGCAGACCTTATCACTACCTTATGAAGGTGGAGAGGCTATTTTCGAAAGGCCCTCGGTTCAAGAATAGTGAAAATGAAGCAATAGACAAACAATAGTAACAACAAGATAATAAGGCAATGGAAGCAAATGGTACAACGAGTAATTACAAAGATCCAGGGATACGAAACTACAAGAATTAGTGCCAATCCTACTGATAATAATGACCCACCGTGGAAAAATAAGGGACTGGGAATAGGAAAATAGCCTAATACACGCCTCTTCCACCAATACCTTGCCTTCCTCGTCTTTGATGCATCTCACTTAGTCTAGGTCCCGAGCCTTCTTCTCTCTCACCTTGGCTAACCTGAATAGTTTCTTGTCACTGCATCTGCCCCCAAGTTCCTCATACAAGCATATAAAGGCTGCAGTCTTAGTTGTTGTGACCGCTAACTTCGCCTCTTTATTTGCCTTCTTACCATAAATGAGTAAAATATCTGCAACATATTTGATCTCATGTGAAAATGGAGTTTGTACTTGAGATCACTCTGTGGCATATAATAGATCGAAATAATGAAAATTGGGAACTCTTTTAGATTCACTGTATAACCACTGTCACTAGGAAGGAGGTTTTACTTCTATATGTGACATTTATCTACAGGATGCATTTATATTACGGTTCATACAATGTGAGTTCCTATATCAACCTAGAAAGCAGGAAGATAGAAGTCAAATGCAATATGATTAGTCACGGACACATTTTTTGATAAGGTAGTCACGGACACATTGACATGGTAAACTTTGAGAAATGACATATCAATATGTAACATTGACAATTATAAATATATCATACAAAGAAATATTGAGAAAGAAATGTGGCGGTAACGGGATAGTGGAGGTGTGCACAAGGCTTAGACACCACTGCTAGGAAAAAAGAAAAAATGTTGAGACAGAAAAGACGGGATGATCTCATACATAAAATTTAATAGGAAGTATTGTTCTTTGATAAATAAATTAATAGTAAATATCTTTTTCAATTTTTTAAGGTAATACTTTTATAAATAATTTGAATACCCAGTACTAAGACAGTGTTGGAGAGCACATCCTAAATACAACATTATCAACCCTACAACTAATGACATCTATAAGCTTCCCTTTGTCATCCATATCATCTAGCTTACACCATGAAGCTAAAATAGATAAGCATTTGAATTTCACCATATGAATAGACAATAGACTCTGATTTGCTTTCAAAACAGCTAAAATTCTGTTCTCTCCAAATAATTCAGAAGACACGGCCCGAAATAGCTCTCTAAATCCTTTTCAGCTCCTTGTTACCTTTGCAAAACAGCCAGCTATTCAGAAGATCCTTAATAGTTTGCAGGGATGACCCATTTTATACCAAAGATATAAAATATAGATGCCAATATTGCCCAGCTACTTCACAATGTAAAAACATATGAGCACTGTTTCAACTTCCTTTTCACTGAGAAAACATCTACTGCACAGCTGCACCCCTCTTTTGTGCAAGGTTGATTGAGTAAGCCAGTACCCAACAAAAGACAGCTCCCCGATTATCTTACACGGTCAAGGAGAATGTTTTCCGATACCTGAAGCAAATGAGCAAGACAATCCTCCTTTTCCATCTTCCAAAGCATTCATGTTCAGTTCCTGCTACAATGCTGCCAATGCATCAATGTCCCAATCGGACCAATGCCTCCTGAAATTCAGCTGCCAATTACTTCCATGGTCAAGCTTTGCCACAGTAGCATCTTTATCGGCAGAACAGCTAAAAGGATCAGGGTATCTAAACTTCAATGGAGTGTGCCCTATCCAAGCATCGTGCCAAAACTTAATCCTCCCTCCATTTCTAACTTGTAGTCTGATTTCCTTGAAAATCATCCTATTGCCTTCTAATGGATTTCCAAAGCCCACAACCATAAGGACCGATTACTTCCTTAGTTTTCCAACAATCTTGTTCCCCTATTTAGACACCACAATATTCCTCCATAAAATCTTTTCCTCATTAGTGTACCTCCACAACCACATCGAAAGAAGGCACTGATTGTGAATTTTGAACCCCACATCCTCCTTGCTCAAAAAAGCCGTCTTCCAGTTAACTAAGTGATAGGCACCCTTCTCCTTATTCCTTCCCAAAGAATTAATACTAAATATCTTTGTAGTCTAAGTTGATTAATAAAGCACATGCTACACGGACTCAAATATGCAGCTTCTATAAATATTTCGTTGCTGTTTCAGTTTACTCTCGTATTTTATATGGTTCATATTACTTTTTGTTGATATTTTGCTCACATTGTATTTCATTTAACTAGATTCCATATTCCAATATAAAGAAACGATAGTTCTTTCATCTGTTTAAGGAGGAACATTTATCAATTGGACAATGTTGTTATTTTGATTTCTCCCTCGCCTTTTGTTTTTTGGGGAAAAAGTCTTATTCGTTTCTTCTAAATTACAGGAGCAAGCATTTTATGTTAATCTTGGCACCCTATTAAGTGGAATAGGATGCAAAAGTATCCCACAATCACAGAAGAAGTGGAACTGTTGACTACAAGTGGTACACCCTCTGTGGGAGAAATTACAAGATATCTATACCTTGTACTTTGTGATATACTAAGATCAAATTCTCGTGAATAAACTATAACTTCGAATTTAGAATCATTCTTTTGTCAAATGGTGATTTGTTTCTAATATGCCTCCTGATAGAAGCTGGCAGGATTTCAAAGTTTATCTTGTAAATGTTTTTCTGAAATAGTGTGGAAGACCGGTACTGATCTTTTTGTGCGGTTGAATTTGAAATCTTTTCCCTTTTTTCTTTTGGGTGTGGGGAAGGGAAGTAGAAACTTGCCTTGCAAAAAGAAGATGAAAAGGAGGTTATATTGTTTTTGATATCATCCTCATTCAAGTTTTCTATTTTCTTAATGAAATCGTATTATTTAAACAAAAAGTGATAAGTGAAGTAGGTATGTACTTAAAATGGCAAGCTAAATTATTAATGTTCAATTCGGTTTTCTTACCTACACTGGTAACCCTTACACTATCAGATGTTTGGAAAAACTACAAGCCTCAGTGTGTTCCTAATTATCTTCTGTGCAAGCTTGCCTTGATGTGAAAATCACTTCTGTGTGGTTATCATGCTTCTGAAGAAGTGGATTCTAATCATTTTGGTTGACTGTACCTATTATGATCTACTTAAGTAGCCAACAAGTGGAATTTTTTTTAACTGTAGAGAAATATTTTTAGATTCCTAGTTTCTTGATTTCACACTGACATTGGCAGGTATAATGTTGGGCCTTAAGATTCCGTTTCTCATCCATGCAAATCTGTTCCAAAAGCTGTTGTCTATTATTTCTTCACTGGAAGAAGGGGGAAATCCAGAATAGTCCTGTGCAGGAACTTTAGACAAGTTGATGTGCTTAATGAACTGTCAGCTTTCTCCTTTCTGGTAGACAGATTTGACAAGATATCGAAATAAAGTTCCATGTAAAAGAATAGCATGAGGTTGACTTGTGCACAACATGACAGAGCCTTGGTAATTTGCTGCATGTGGGTGCAAATATCTAATGCTTTGTGCTGTGCACCCAAAGGCTATGCCAAAAAATGCTAAGTGATACCTTCTATGCACCTAGTATCTCTGGTACTTGTGTTGATGGGGATAGCAGACATCCAACGGAATAGTCGCGGTGCAAGTAAATTGACTTAATCAATGAAAATATTTAATGCTATGTTCAATGTGTCAGATATGTACAAGACTGCTGCAATGTCTAATGAGGCTTGAGTAAACTACCACTTGTCTACTTGAACTAAAAAATTTGTGCGAGCAAGGGGTTTGTCTAGGGTTGTGGTGGATTACTGATACAAAAGGTCACATTTGACCTGTGTATGTCATTGGTGAACACAGTAAGCATGTATTGGTTGGCCCATTGATAATTTATGGACATAGTGCCCCAAAAGATAATGCAAAGTGAATAAATCTCAACAACCTTTTGCTTATCTTGTTAGGAATCTATATAAGCTGAAGGCTAGAAAATACAGACACACAAGGCTGTGCATCTTTGCCTTTGTATATATGCATAGGCCTGTATTACTCTGTTTTAATATCTTTCATTTGATGGTGCTCGAGTATATAACAAAGTATAGTATATGTATAGGCCAAAATCTGCAAGGATATTTAGCGTAATACGGCATTAAGGAAAGAATCGGTCGAGGTCGACCAGGAAGCAGCAAGATTCATGGCCGAGGTGTCAACCATGACCGAGGTCGAGCATTGTGTAAAGAACTATAACGGCTAGTGTTTGAAATAGGATATTAAAGTGAATATTCTTTGCACTTGTACTATTAGGGTTTGTTAGAGATATGTCTTGTATATATAGAAAAAGAGATAAGGTGATATGAAAAGGTAATATTCACTCGAGAAGACCACTTTTGAGAAGAAGATTCTCTCTCTAGCAAAGATATAAACTTTACCTTTTCATCAATATTCATACTCACATTATTCTATACTTTTCCATCAGATTTGAGAATAGTTCAAACATTCTAGGATTTCTCTGTCACTCATCATTGTCAGAAGGAACAATCATCTATCTCATTCATTATTGGGTGAATTGTTCTTCCTATTTACTTAAATGTCATTTATTGTTATTTATTGCTAGTTATTCCTCCATTATTTCTCATGGCTTTTGGAGTATTAAATGTGTGTTACTTTCAATCTCCTACTGACTCTATCTTACGTTGCCCATGTTGTCAACTTCTATATCTAGAGATCTTATCATTAACTAAGTTTAACCCTCATTACATAAAATTTAATAGTTTAACTGAAAGTTTATATTTTTTGGTCAAACAATTTGGCGTCGTCTGTGGGAATTTTCTAGTTAAATTTTTAGTTTCTTCTAGATCTACAACTAACACGGATTGCTTAAAAAAAACCAAGAACAAGATTCCCTTTTCCTTGTATACACAGATCTGTTATGGCAGGTAACAGAGAAGAAAGAACGAGGATAATGGGCGACCTCACAACCAACCTCGTGAACACCATCAATGAGATTTTTGAAGCAGAGGGCGAGGATACAACGGCCAATGCTTCCCCAAGGCGAGGAGGATCACATCCTCCTTACTGTAGCATCACAACATCTCTCGGTAAAGGAGCTTCCACGTCCGTGGTGGAAGAGACGCCACCAGCAATAAAAAAGCTCCTCGAGGCTTGGCTAATTGACACACTAACCGGCATCCTCCACAAGCCCGCTCAGGATACGGTCGTAGAAAATGCAAGGACTTGTGTTATACCACCAGCGAGCGAGCAGCGTGACCTGCTCCCTCCAACGACAGGTATTGCTCATAATGTCGTTAATAGTGCAGGTGATGACACCCTCGCACCCATTTTGAAAAAAGATAGAGGAAATGGAGAACGAGAACAAAGCACTTCGGGACCAAATGAGAGAACATCAAGAAAGGGTCGACAAGATACCAGGTGCCCCAAGCTCTTGCCAAAGAGAGATGCTGGACGGTTCGTCGAGCAACCATACAGTGATGAAGCCGCCCCGCATGCCATACCAAAGACCTTTAAAATGCCGTCCTACCTGAAAATATATGATGGTACGACCGATCCCGAAGACCATGCAACTCATAACGTCACAGCCGTGAAAGTTAATGACCTCGCCAAGGAAGAAGTTTCCTCCATTTTGTTAGAAAAAATTTGGCGAGACCCTTACTAGAGGAGCATTAACATGGTATTCATAGCTACCCATGCGTTCCATTGAAACATTCAAAGAAATGGCCGACAAGCTCGTAACGGCCCATGCTGGGGCCAAAAAGGCATAGGCGAGAGTGAACGACATATTCGCTATCAAACAGTCGCCGGGAGAAGGATTGAGGGACTTCCTCGCCTGATTCAACCGAGTAAGAATGACATTACCAAATGTATCGGAAGGAATGGCTGTCGCAGCTTTCCAGAACGGGCTGAGCAGAAATGGCTCAAGGGCGACAAGAAAGTTATTAAGTCGACTTATGAAGTACCCCCCCCCCCCCGACCTACCTC